AATGCACAAAGTCAAATGCTTGCTCAACTCGAGCCCGTGATTTTAGGTTATCGCTGGCCAGAGTCGAACGAGACGTCAAACGAAACAAATCGGGAAGTGATGTTAATGTGGAATTAGTATGATCCGTTTTGGACAATGATCCCAATCTTTTCTATGGTGTTTCCCCACAGTCCCCTGTATTTTACATTCCCTGTTTTCGTTATACCCTAGAGCTCTTTGGTACCGTTTTCTTCAGTTTCCTTGTCCTATTTTTTATGTAATACGTCTATGTACATTCCGATCTAGCAGACATCTCAGTGCATTTCTCCCATGGCACATAATCTCCAATCGCATTTCGTCATAACCCATATTTTTTGTTCCAGATGAAAATGCTTACAAATCGTTTTTGATACAATTAATCTGCCCAATTCTACTTTATTTTGTTTTCCTCGCGCTCGACGAATGTCTGTATTAACGTCTAACGTGCTGACAAATTGCGCTCGCATCATTTGTTAAATTTATCCGTTGATAATTGGTGGTCGATGTCGGTTGTGTTGATAATATACTGGATCCGGCTAGATTGTTAGATTGAACATTTGCTAATATCAAGGAAAGCACATTCGAGTACTTATCGGAACGTTCACTTACTTACAGAGCTTCCCAATTCCCTTCCAGTAGTGATATCTACTGTTTAAATCAAACAGCTTGTCGTGTAAGGGATCCTTATGCGTTACTGTCACCGCTGACTGCAGAATGTTTGTCTTGCTTTCATATACAAGGTGACGCGTTTCCATTTCAGTCACTTGGAACTTTAATACCCTTTTCATTCAAGCAGTCAAATTGAACCGATCGCCGTGTGTTAGGCTCGCATAAACTATGTTTTCCCCCTTTAAATACGGAATACTTACGAAGAACGACGGCACTTGTCACTTCTCACCACTTCAACATGACTGTCTGTTCAGGCCATGTTTGCAAACTTGGTATTATCACATGTTGTCCTACTCCGTTGAATGTTATCAGATAATTTCAAGAGAGGGAATCGTACCTGAGTATTTAGGTGGAGGAATTCACAATAGCCTCAGGTTTTAGATATACCCTTAGGTTCTGTGACGTCCAACATCTCGGTAGTTATTGATCTTTGATGACTATTTTGAATTCTCTTCTCCAAATCTTTCTATTATATTTACTAAAGGGGGTACATACCATAATATCTAGGACTTACTGTTCGATTATGGAAGCTGACAGTTCCATCCTTGAGATCAGGAATGACTAGCCACACAACACCTCAATGCGAAGTAGGCGTTTCTATTAGCTCGTTTCTCAATCATTCTCTTTGTTTATTATATTTTGCCATATCGGCTATAGCATATCAAGCGATTTTCTGAATCCGATTAGTTAGTACTATTATTTTGATTAGCTACAAGAGAAAACAGTCTGCTTTTGCCATCAATATTCTACTTCTATCATCTGCTCCTGTTTTCTAGCCCCTGGACGGCTCGCACTCGCCCTTTCTCTCTACCTGTTCGTGTCGAGTCCTCTCTCTGGTTTGAGAAGAATTATTTGAATTAGATAAGTGATCGTCCACGCACCTCATCCGTCGCTCAGGTACGAACTACTTCATCTCCCAACTGTTTTTCGATCGTACTGGAGATCTCCAATGGCCCAAGCCTATTGGCTTTTGTCTCGAATTTTGATTTGGACTGTGACGTGTTTCGTACTAATTCGTGCAGACGCTGTAGACCAGAGAGAGAAGATTTATGACGCAGAGACTGGGCAGTATTTTCCTATATCCGAGCTGTCCAAACGGGTTGACCCGCAGTTTGTCTTGCCAGATCCGGACCCGGTTGAATTCCCCCCGGAATATTTGGCCGAGTTGTTGACTCATTGCGATGATCCCATTCCTGGAGCATGGGAATTTTTACAGAAGACTTGGATTGCGTTTCGTGAATTCGGATTGAATTGGTCTCGCTATCCAGTCTCGAAGGCAGTTTTATCTCGTATTCTCATGGCTGTTCGACCAATACAGTTGTTACACGCTTTCATTGTGGCTGTTGTGCTCAGTGTTGCCCGGTACATGTTACAATACTGTCTTCTCGAGGTAATTTTCTCTTTCTACAACCAAACTCCTGTATTTGTTCGTCGGATGAGCTTTGCTCAGTGCGTATCGTCTTAATACTTCTCTACTAGGAATTAAGCTCCACCAATGAGCAGCAAGTACGCTTCACGGATGAAAATCATCCACTAGGCCGAAATAGCTAACTCGTGCTTTATAGTCGCTTCGGCGATAAATAACATGAAGTTTTGTATTTTGATACATTGGTGACAAAAATATTAGTCATTTAAAGTTTCACACAGTGTTTTCTTTACTTAGCCTCTTTCTGTAATTGGATTTGCCACTGGCTTTAAAGTCTTCCTTCAGCAGACAATGTAATAAGGAGAGCTGTGGCAAGGTTGAATAGATCATTGCTATTCTCTTGCGTTTTTAAGATTGTCATACATTATTTTTAAATTGAAATTTGGTGTAGTGGACCCTAATAACAAAAGTGTGGTTAATCTGCAACGAGCTGACCGGAATTTATGAACATCCTCTTTGGAAACATGGGTTTTTTCCCAAATATGTTGTAACTGCTATCCATAAGGGTTTGGGACATCTGTTGGAGTTCGCATCTACATTGTTTTCATTAAGGATTACTTCCAGTTGAACAGGACATTTTTTCGCTAGCAGCATAGGATTCAGAACCACCACTGTCACGAGGTTTGTCTGCTTTCCTTTGCCAACGAGGCTTTTATTTACTATACACCAGTCGGTATTCCTGTGGGTGAGTTCTATAGACCCCTGTTGACACGTTCCACCCAGGCTCTTGATATCAAGGGGACTAACATAGACGACCAACGAAAAGCACTATCTTATTGAATCGTTACTTGCGAGGCCCTCGCACCAAAACTAATTAGACTTTTTGTTCGAGTTAAACTCGAACTTTGACAATACACCCTCGGTCTTCGCATTATGTACGTTATACTATTTACCCACAAATGCACGCGTAACGAATTCTTTTCAGTGATCCGTGGAAAAAGAATTCTAGTCATTCGGTAAGATAAAGCTTGTCTCCTCACCTGGCGATTCTCGCATATTCCTCTCATGGTTTCCTACCGCCGTAGAATCGTTAGGCACAAAAGCTATCGTTCGTTCTGTATTCGCTGCATTCTGTTCCACAACCTTTCGTTCTTAATAATCTATTTTTGGGCCTTGGACTACCAAGAACCTCTCGCATCTGATACAATAGGACTTTTCAGCCCAATAAATGTCACCCATCCTGGTAAAAAAATGGTCATGCCATAGAACGTTTCCACATTGTTTTCATTCATTCACCGAACATCTTCCTCTGATCTCTGTATTATCGCGCTTTCTCAACAACTAGTTTGCACGTTACACACCGTTGTGTGATAAACATGAGATTAATGAACCCATAGTCGAAAGATTCTACTACTGTTGATATTGGCGAATCATCTCAATACCAGCAACTATACCCTTTTTCTATCCTCACATAAAGGTCATACAATTAGTTCTTGCGCGTCAACCACTTTCCGACCTAAAGCGCCCTCGTAAATAATCCCAATCGTGCGTTCCGCTGTTGTATGCAATTTGTTCCCGTATGAAGTTGGCTTCGCGGACGGACATGTTGAAGCCTGAGGGTGTGCTATAAACCAATATGATATATGGTACATAATATAAATGATGTATATAAGCAACCTAAAGTGGCATTACGAGGAAGACTGTTATTATCTGTGAAAATACTTCCCTGTCACTTACGTAGCCACATACTCCCCGCAGGGGAATAATGGTAATGACCCTGTTTAGTGGCGGGCCGAATGGGCGCACGTTATAATGATCTCCACAGACATCTGTGGCTTCTTGTATTAAGATCACATGCTAGGCGAAACCCCAGTCTGTCTTCAGATATCGGCACTAATTGTTCACGGTTATCCATTCAGTGAAGTGCCTACCTGGGTGGTCATTCTCATATCCGCATCTGATTCACCGTTTTCTCCATGTATCTTCCAGACTACCGTCATGCAATTACCCTGCTCCCTTCTTCGGCGCTATTAGCACGGCTCTTACTGCTCCAATGGCCCTGGTAGGAAACAGGCGATACAACCTTTTTGCCTCTGGTTTGAATAGTTTTTATTCCACGGATTTTCAATGCGTTGGCTAATCTTATCTAATCCCTTCATCGCCTTTTTTCGTAACACCTCAGAAACGCGAGGTTCTTTAACAATGGAAGACGGACCGGTATTCTGTCGGTTGTGTACTCAAGTTGCGGATCATAGACAGATTACTTACGTGGCGGTTGACTAAAAATAAGATGAACTTAAATTCAGTGGTAGTGCTTGAGGCCTCCTTTTGGGTTTTGCCTGACTGGCTTCATCCCATGCCACGTGACGATCACAGCCCGCCATTAAATAAGGCCACTTCTCCTTTCGTTCTCCATTTGCATGAAGAGGTAAATAAATGGTACAATAGGCCACCGGCTACACTTAGGTGTGCAAAAGCTATGGTTACCGCCATTACCTTCCCACCTGCTTCAGACCGTAATAAAATTGCCCCGAGCAGTACCGGGGACATATTTAATTCGTAGGAAACTCGTTGAATAGTATCCATGATGCCGACTTCTTATCAAGCGGTTGTTGGTCGAACAAGGAAAAATGACTTCGTCTACCTGTTCATCGAAAATTTTAATTTCGCGGTTTATTTATTGAAGAACAATTTGTGACATTTTACTGTTTCCATTTCTTTTGTTTTTCAGTATGCGAAACAGCGCCTTGGAATTACGACACGGAACGCCCAAAGATTTTTTGAATCCAGTTGGAAAGCTTTCTGGTATCTCATCATGTGGTTGTGCACATTCCACGCCCTGATCCTTAAAGGTCGTACCGACTTCCAGTACCCTTTGCGTATATTTAGAGGTTTGAAAGTGGATGGTAAGTCTCTACTGGATAAAATTCATAATGTTCGATCAAATGGCATGATAAAATGCATCGTATCATAACCTTCTCGATGAGGATTCCGTTTCATCTTCTCGGAGGGATTTATTTCCCAGATTGTTTCTCCGAGCTGTAAATGCGGTTACCTTCCGTTTCTTACACAAACATGCATGTGTAATTCGGCGGATCCTGTCGGAAGTATCATGCTTGGTCGTATTTCACTGATTGAATACTAAGTTATAGACACGGTCGAACTGTGAAGATGGAGTCTAATTGTACTGGTTTGCTATGACCGGAGTGGGATGGGTGGAAGGAGAGTGTCGAACTTGTCAGTCACCGATCCCATCTGTGATTCAAGCCTTCAGCAGGGTTTATGGGACTGTAATTGAATGTCGTTTCTGCAGATGAGCAAGAGCGCATGTTCACCATTGGTTGTATTGATGCGTTGCATCTCACCATGGCGATGATGTTCTCATCACCATTTATCTACCGGCTGAGGAACGACTTTCCTTTGTTCCTTTCTGTGACAGTATTGACGTGACAATTTAGATCAATCTTTCACAGTGAGTAATACGGGAAGATCTATGATTTCAATTGAAATGTACGTGTTCGATACTCTCTCCGGATGGTGAGAGAAAGAGAAAACGTCGACCCACACAGGATTATCTATAAACAGCTGTCCCAATGGGTATGCTCAGGGCAGCCAATTCGATCTTGTTTTGGTGACGAGCATTTCACTCTCCATCTGTCCTCTGTGTGCTTGCTATAAATATACCCTCCCCTCTCTATCGACCACGTACCGCACATATTCGCCCTACCCGTGGCAGGTGGATCATTTCGAGTTCATACACATGCCATTGATGCCAACGTGCGTTAAATGATTATCCAGCAAAATCATTTCT